TTATATATTGACTTAAAAACGTATGCTTCTCAGGTGAAACGTGGTTCCTTTAGGAGTAAAGAGGCATGTGGATTAAAAAAAAGGTTACCTTATTCTACCCCTCCCGTGTCCAAAAAGTTTAAAGCAATACTTAAAATGGGACCTATAAAATTGATTGTATAGACGCCTATTTTATAATTTTCAGCATTTAGTAAGAAATACGTCTCAATATTAAGGTAGCCAGACATTGTAGTATAAAATTTGAAATGGCATCTTTTGAAAATAAAGACAGTAGTTTTTTAGAGTATTATCACATAAGCGAAAGATATACCCTCAGCACTCATTTCAAGAAATACAAATTTCTTGATTTCTTGCAAGTTTATAAACTAAAGCTGCTTTTTCGTATTTAATTGGAGTTCAATTGCACATTCTATATATGAAGCAATTTTTTTGATATCTACCGAGGAAGTGTTGAAATGTGCATGAAACTAGTTTATAATGGCAGCCAATGGGGATTTTAAAAAATTGAAACGCCAATATCTTTGGAACTAGGAACTAGGCAAAAGAAAAATAACAACCCTTCTTATTTCGAAGGTAATCATGTGATTGTAAGATACTAAGAATAGGCTTTATTATACTAAGAATGGGCTTTATTACTCTAGATCTAGAACTGTTCTGTTTTATAGATCGAAAAACTAACATTGGGCTCAATATAGTTTTTATACAACTTAATGACTAAATATATTAAAAATAAGAATTTTTTAGAAATGTGCCTGTTTGATTTTTTTAAGTCAATATATCAACTTTAGAAATCTACAATATTAAAAAGTTTCATTGTAGACTTTTTGAGAAAAGGACACTTTAATAAAGCTATATTGATAGCAGTTTATAATGGCAGCCAATGGAGATTCTCCAAAATTCAAACTCCTGTATCTTTGGAACTAGGTAAAAGAAAAAACAACCCTTCTTATTTTGAAGATAATCATGTCATTGTAAGATAATAGGAATATGGGCTTTGTTACTCTAGACCTGATCTGGAGGGAGTTCTACGAAAATTGATAAATTAACATAGGGCTCAATATAGGTTTTTAAACAACTTAATGACTAAATATATTAAAAATAAGAAATGTTTAGAAATGTGCCTGTTTGAATTTTTTAAGTCAATATATTAACTATAGAAATCTACAATATTAGAAAATTTCATAGTGGACTTTTTGAGAAAGGGACACTTTAATAAAGCTATATTGATAGGAGTTTATAATGGCAGCCAATGGGGATTTTCCAAAATTCAAATGCCAATATCTTGGGAACTAGGCAAAAGAAAAAAAACAACCCTTCTTATTTTGAAGATAATCATGTTATTGTAAGATGCTAGGAATATGGGCTTTATTACTTTCGAACTGTTCTGCAGGGGGTCTTTTGAAGATTGATAAATTAACATGGGGCTCAATATAGGTTTTTTATACAACTTCACTGCTAAATATGTTAAAAATAAGAAATTTTTAGAAATGTGCCTGTTTGATTTTTTTTAAGTCAATATATTGACTATAGAAATCTACAATATTAGAAAATTTCATAGTGGATTTTTCGAGAAAAGGAGACTTAAATAAAGCCATATTGATAGCGGTTTATAATGGCAGCCAATGGGGATTTTCAAAAATTCAAACTCCTATATCTTTGGAACTAGGTAAAAGAAAAAAAACAACCCTTCTTATTTTGAAGATAATCATGTTATTGTAACATACTAGGAACATTGGCTTTATTTCTCTTTAACTGTTCTGCAGGGGGTCTTATGAAGATTGATAAATTAACATGGAGCTCAATGTAAATGTGCAACATTTTCGAGGCCTGCTATTATCAACTGGGGCCACATTTCACCACCACTTCGTTAGATATCAAAAATATATGCATTAATGATACTTCTGTCAAAACATGGTGCTTTATATATAGCATGTGCAATTAAAAACCTAACTGACTGCACTACTAGGGATTATTTCTTCTGGTACAGCATTACTTCCTGCGAAAGCTATTTGGATTTTGATATAATAGCTTTCCCACGGAGCATTTGGACAGCTCAATGATCGTGACCTTTGAAATCGAATTAAGTCGATCCGCGGCTTACTTTTGGTCTCTAACTGTGTCTTACATCAGTATCATCAATCCGTGTAAGTATTGGAGCGCTGGAGTACTTCTTTTTCGATCAAGACTTGTAATTGTTAGTCGAGTGAATCGTTTTACTGCAAAATTCCAATATGGCGGTTTCTGCTCGGACATTTTCGTAAATCTCCGGAGGTTGTCCGAACCTAACTAATATTCTCAAAATTCATTTCGTTCGTTGCGTATCTCGCACCTAGCAAACCGCCATATTGGAAATAGGTCTGTAAAACTTTAACTCGATGAACAATTTACAAGTCTTGATCGAAAAAGAAGTACTCCAGCGCTCCAATACTTACACGGATTGATGATACTGATGTAAGACACAGTTAGAGACCAAAAGTAAGCCGTGGATCGACTTAATTCAATTTCAAAGGTCACTATTGATCAGCTGTTCACTTCTCCGTTTGAGAGCCATAAGTTTCAAAATCTAACATGGCTCTCGAAGTGAGTAAGTACAGCAAACTAGGGTGATATAAATGACCACGTCTGCACTAAGGTTCCAATAAACCGTTTTAAAGCTGAAAGGGTCAGCTTTAAGAATCTGACCTGCATTCGAATTTTTAGTGAATGCAAAATTAAATATTAACCCTTTCATCCCCATGGGTGATCTCAAAATGACAAATACCCCCATGATAAGAATGGATTATCTTTAGGTTTACAATAACTAATTCAATGTCAAATTATACTTTCAAGAGTTTGAACAAAGATAGGCTGAGATTTGATATTTGAAAATAGTGCGTACATTTGGGTATTTAGGATTGTAGGATATAACTTATTAATTTTTTCCTGGGAATATTAAGATTGTAGCAAGTGTGTATTAACTAAACATGAGAATATACACCTGTGCCTTCACATTGGGTATTATCATTTCCCTTTGACCGCACAATATATACAGAATATCACATCATTTTGAGTGATATCATTTTTATCGCCGAGTTGATATCAAATATCAACACAAGTCGCTTCGCTCACTCGTGTTGATATTTGATATCTACGAGGCGATAAAATGATATCACGAGAAATTATGTGATATTGGGTTTATCACATGATTACAATCACCTTGTGATGTTCTGATCCAATTTCCAGGACACTGGAAGACCTATTTTCTCAAAAGAGAATAAATTATCTGACCTAATTTCCAACAATATTGTGTCGCGAAATGCAAATGTGATATCACACGGATATGCGTGAGATAAACGATATCACACGCATATGAGTTTGATAAACGATTTTCTGGAAAATATCACACGGATTTCAATAATATCAGAAATATCAATAGCTGTTATTGTACAGATAACACATTAATCGTGGGATAAATACAGAATATCACATCATTTTGAGTGATATCATTTTTATCGCCGAGTTGATATCAAATATCAACACGAGTCGCTTCGCTCACTCGTGTTGATATTTGATATCTACGAGGCGATAAAATGATATCACGAGAAATCATGTGATATTGGGTTTATCCCATGATTACAGTCACCTTGTGATGTTCTGATCCAATTTCCAGGACATTGGCAGACAATATAAACTAGAAATTAGAATATCTATTGAATATTTGAAACACTTTATTTTCATATGCACTACTTTCTGTACATGATATAGTTCGTAATAAATACCATCTTTAATCTTTTAATCGATTTAGCAGCCTTCTAATCAAATTATATACACAATCGTAATTCAATACACCAATGAAACTCAAAGAGAATAAATTAACGGACCTATTTTCTCAAAAGAGAATAAATTATCTGACTTAATTTCAAACAATATTGTGGCGCGAAATGCAAATGTGATATCACACGGATATGCGTGAGATAAACGATATCACACGCATATGAGTTTGATAAACGATTTTCTGGAAAATATCACACGGATTTCAATAATATCAGAAATACCAATAGCTATTATTGTACAGATAACAGATTAATCGTGGGATAATTTGAAATATGCCCTTATAAGTATCAGTGCTAGAATCAATTCCAAAGGAGCTCTACACCCAATCTTCACAAGTAGTATGGGTGAGTCACTCAGGGTTAAGTGGAATCTATCAAGCTAAATATTTGACCTTTGACCTCTATTGCCACACCTATTTACTCATACAGCATCTTTTTATTTCACTCTAATATAGAATTCCATCTCAAACATGTATACTGTCTAATAAACAGTCACACAACTGATCATGGAGAGTGACACAAAGATAACTTTTTAGGCATTTAAAGTACATTAGTATTTAGGTTCATCTTTATATAAAGATTAATATTCAAGTTCGCTCTTCTGCAACATTCATAACCATATCCGCTGGGGATAGAAATGCGGCCAGTATTTTCGTCTGGTACAACTGAAAATACTGGACGCAGACCTCCATCTTTGATCCAGAGAGAGGTAGGTGTAATTTTACTCGGTAGCCTGTGATCGTTTTACAGTGTGTCCTTACCTAAAAACAGGCTCATCAGATTCCCAGTACATTGGGGAACATCGTATTCTTATAAAATGACAGCTATCCATCCAGTTATCCAGTTTCTGTAATGTGGGGTTAAGCACAGAAATATTTTGAATCGAGTGATATTTCTTTTTATTTACCATTTCATTGACAAGATATACAAATTCTTGTGGATGAACTAACAATACAGCCTCCAATCTGCAAATTTTAGCTTAAAAGTGATCGATAAAAAATGGCGAAATTTTAGAAATACTGGACTAAATCAAAATGTACTGGACGTAAGCCTGTTAATACCGGATGACTTGTGTCCAGTACATTTTCATTTCGTCCGGTATTTCTTTTTTCCTCATTTTTCTATTTTCAATCATTTCAAAGCTAAAATTTGCCGACTGGAAGCTGTATTCTTATTCCATACACAAGAAAATTGCATATTGTGTCAATGAAATGGTAAATAAAAAGAAATCTGACGTGATTCGTGTTTTTTCCTGGGAAAAATCAAATTATTTCTGTGCTTAACCCCACATTAAAAAAATCTAGATGAATGGCTGTCATTTTATAAGAAATGTGTGTTCCTCAATGTACTGGGAATCTGATGAGCCTGTTTCTAGATAATGAAACACTGTTAAACGATCACAGGCTACCGGGTTAAATCACACCAACCTCTCTCTGGATCAAAAATGAAGGTCTGCGTCCAGTATCTCAGTTTGTACCAGACGAAAAAACTGGTCGCGTTTCTACCCCCTGATCTGTATCAATCTTTCATTAACGGCCCATTCGCGGCCTCAGGTAGAAGTGCCCATCGATGGCAAATATTACGCAGCATGCAAGTCGACCACCTGCGTTCCCAGTTTCTAAACTTCCAGGATTCCCTCCGAGTCCCAAATCATCTTCATTAACGTGAATCTGTAAAATCAAGTGTAAATTGTTACAACCAAATACAAAATATTGAATTATTCTGATAGTCACCAGATTGTTCTATTTTCAACGATTTCCATGCCTACCACAAGACTTTGCCCCATTATGCTGAATGGACCAGTCAATGAGACAAGACTATCAGCCAAAAGTCCAGAAGCTTCACCATTTTGATCTTCAATTATGTTGCCCAAGTCACCAACATGTCTAAATTATAGAGAAAAAACAAAAAATATTTACATCAAAAATTGACAAGTCGAGGTAAAGGATGAGAGAATATGCCCTCTTGGTCCCTCACTTAAATGTATTTAATTGAAATACGATTCATATTACTGTCATTGTTGTATTTGTTAATTAAGACTTCCAGACTCTTAATGAGTCTTATTGATTTTGATCGATTTTTTGAACCTTTTTTTTTCTTGACAAGTTTTCTACCAAACTAGAAGAGCTAACTTAAACCTGCTTACACGGTTACCTTAGGATTGGGCCAAGGATGCTCGGAAATTGGGTCAAATTTTTAATTGATCAAAGGACTATGTCAAATCGTTTTTTTCTCAAGTTTTCTCCGTCATTCTTCATTTTTTTTGTCTCGATTTATGTTTCATTGTATTCCCTAGAAACAAAGCTATTTCAGGTCTTTGGGGGTCATTTTACTCTTACCGGATTTTGAGATATGGCGTCCGGAAAGTAGGACAAAACAAAAAGTTCTCCAAATTTAACGTGTGAGATTCTATGCCCTTTTAAGGTAAAATTTAAAAATCATTGTTTTCACTATGATATGGATAAAAACGATTGGGGACCTACACATGACATTTAACTCCGATTTTAAGCGAAGAAGTCAAAGTCAAAATCTAGGTAATTTTTCCGCATTATACTTTAATATTTGTGCCTGAAATCCAGGGAGGGTATTCCATGACATGTAAGTTCTCTGCATTCAAGTCGATCATTATCTTAAAAGATTTTGCACCTGTTTCGAGATGTTAGGAATCCAAAACAGAAATACGTAAAAGGACCACGAGCTCCATCAATAAACCATAAAACATCTTATTGACTATAAGATTGCACCATTTAATCCCCCAAAATGTCTCATTTTCAAGGATTTCATGGATTTACACCCAAGTATTTGTTTGTTTTTCAAACTTCAGAGGGCTGGAAATCATTGATAACGATCGCTTTTAAATAATATAAATGCTGTTTTAAATAGATTTCATGCATACCAATATTTTCTCAAATTGTGTAAATGGTACCCATTCCTCATTCCCTAGAATTTTCTCTTTGAGGAATTTATCATAGCAATCCAATGGTATAGTTCCAAGCAGATTTCGAGATAACAGGAAAGTTAATTATTAATACACACCTCATTGGGTTGTGATATATGTTTCAAACTTTTTGTATAAATTATTTATTAAACTATTTGTACTTTTCGTAATTCTAGCATATCAATATACATTTTCTTTGAAGCCTTCATTCTTCATCAATAATCAAGGTTTCATAATATGGGTGATTGAGTTGATTTTTCAGACATTACACTTTTTTATATCTTCTAAGTCGATATCCTGACCCATACCCTGACTCATCCTTTAAGCTAGAACGGAATACAGGTTGGTTTAAAATTCAACATATCGTCATAATATTGGCAGTATTGGCAGGGCATTTGCCTCACCTGTTCCATGCCTGAGTATGACTCTAGCATCTCATGTCATCTATATTATCTTTATTATTTGAAAATTTCATGTTATTTCATCAAAGAATAGGAAATAGAGCGGGTCGTTCAAGACAATGATTTGCTTAGAAAATAAAACTACAAACTAGTACCTATCTTTTGGATCATTTAGCCTATCACCGTGTGTCGTTTTCATAGGATTGAAGTGACCCCCTGCATTTTGACATCCATCCATGATATCACCATAAACGTGAACATGCAATCCATGTTTTGTAACATTATCAGCCGTGTCAAAGCCCATGATATCATACTTTATTTGTGTGCTTTTATTTGGGCTTTGCTTGAAGTAAACTGTACCAGACAAGTTGTAGGGGGCGCCAGCAGGATTGGGCATAACCTCGCATTTAGCATACATTGGTGCTGCAATGAATTAGTGCAAGTATCGGCAGTACGATGAGTAATGTCTAGGTCACATTTGCTGCGATTCATCGGCCGGCGCCCGGCCGATTGAGTATTTTGATCAAAATTGAATACATTTCTGAACAAAATACTCAATCGGCCGGGCGCCGTAGTGAAATTCGGAGCAAATGTGACCAAGGCATAAGTGAGGTACGTTCAATTAATGTAAGTTGAGTGTACGTGTGTATATTGGATGATTAAATATGCAAGGTAGTTGGATATCTAAGTAATGCCTGGGTCACATATGCTTCGATCCATGGGCCGGCGCCCGGCCGATTGAATGTTTTGTTCAATATTGTATTCAATTATGAACAAAATACTCAATCGGCCGGGCGCCGTAGTGAAATTCGGAGCAAATGTGACCAAGGCATAAGTGAGGTACGTTCAATTAATGTAAGTTGAGTGTACGTGTGTATATTGGATGATTAAATATGCAAGGTAGTTGGATATCTAAGTAATGCCTGGGTCACATATGCTTCGATCCATGGGCCGGCGCCCGGCCGATTGAGTGTTTTGTTCAATATTGTATTCAATTATGAACAAAATACTCAATCAGCCGGGCGCCGTAGTGAAAATCGGAGCAAATTTGACCAAGTTATAGATAAATATGTAATGCGTAGGTAATGCCTGGGTCACATTTGCTCCAATCCATCGACCGGCGCCCGGCCGATTGAGTATTAGCTCAATATTGTATTCAATTTTGAACAAAATACTCAATCGGCCGGGCGCCGTAGTGAAAATCGGAGCAAGTGTGACCAAGGCATTACATTTGCTGCGATTAATCGGCCGGCGCCCGGCCGATTGAGTATTTTGTTCAAAACTCTATACGATTTTGAACAAAATACTCAATCGCCAAGGCGCCGGTTGTGTATGTGAGGATTAATGTGAGTAAATATTTGACCGAATTGATGTGAGATGTAATGCCTAGGTCACATAGCCGCCGGGCGCCGGCCGATGAGTAGTCATCGGCCGATTTCTAAATCGACCGGGCGCCGGTGACTTTTCACCGATGTCTTGATCTAATCGTGAGTATGGTCACATTAGTAAAGGCATCGTACGGCGCCCGCAATCATTTGAATCTGAAAGACATCGCACGTGTATCGCAAGGCTATCTGCCGATGGCCGTACGGCACCCGCCAGGACATCGGTCAATCTACAGGCCTCTAGATTTATACTAAATTCTTGTATGACCCAGTATGACTAGTCTAGTACTGTTCCACATGGCGTGAATGCAGGATTTGAAAACGAAATACTTCGATAGACAGGACTTCCAGGATAATAATGTTTGCATGCAATAAAAATCAGAAAAAGAAGATCCTCTTTTGAGTAAATAGGTTCAATATTTAGAAGAAGAAAAATGCCGACAAGGGGTCCATATTCATAATTTTTCAAATTGTTTGATTGATATTTTCACTATCATGGGTACTTCAATTGAAAGAAAACATATTGTTTTAATAAAAACACGGTATTTATGCCCAGAAAGTACTCATGGTGAAAGATATGACCGTCTAAAATCACTTGCCATACTGCACGAGGTCTTTTCATCAATGTGCACCCTGACCTTAATTCATTTTTAGATCTTTCATATAAACAAATACTTTGTCTACCTGTCCATCCGATGGTATTAGCAAAATTCCCTATTTCTGCATCTTTCTTTTGTCTGTTCTCGTAAAGAGAATTTGTTTGGTCATAAAAATATATCTTTAATGAAATTGGCAATTTTTTCTTCTATTTCAAGTGGAGTACCCTCTTCCCTCGACACATCTAAATCTTCCAAAGGCCTTCCTCATATATGGCCCATTGGCCTTATCCCCATTATCCTTAGTCTTTGGCATATTAACTGTAATTGAGACAGTGAACTTTATTTTTAAAATAAATGATTTGTAATGGTATATGCATGAGTGAATATACGCATAAAAATGTATCACTCTATTCAATGTGTATGACAGACATACACGATTAATGTCAATATAAGAACGACTAGATCAACCCACCCACCCAGCCATTCAAATTCAAATTCTCTCAGTAAGCCTAATCGTTCCATTTGTGTTTTATAAAAAATCTCTGACTGTGTGTAGTAATTATAATTCCTTACCTCATTATTTTTAAAACCGTTATATCACTTTATAAGTAATCATTATTAAGATTTATCTAACAAATCAGCACGCAAAATCCCAAGATGACCGTGCGATGCCACCGGGCGCCGTAAGATAATCGTACGATGACCGGACGGGACACGGCCGGGTAGGTACCGATGAGTTTGGTTGAGAAAAAATCGCCAAGACATCGGCAACTTTTATCTCCGCGATAAAACTCTGCCGGCGCCCGTACGATGTCTAAAAATCGGCCGATGAGTGGCGATCATCGCCCGGCGCCCGTACGATGCCCGGGCTCGCCGGCCGATTTTGAACAAAATACTCATCGGCCGGGCGCCGTAGTGAAAATCGGAGTCTATGTGACCAAGGCATTAGTGAGTAAATAGTACTATGTAATGCCTTGGTCACATATGCTCCGATCCATCGGCCGGCGTCCGGCTGATTAATGCTTTGGTCACATAGGCTCCGATTTTCACTGCGGCGCCCGGCCGATGAGTATTTTGTTCAAAATCGGCCGGCGAGCCCGGGCATCGTACGGGCGCCGGGCGATGATCGCCACTCATCGGCCGATTTTTAGACATCGTACGGGCGCCGGCAGAGTTTTATCGCGGAGATAAAAGTTGCCGATGTCTTGGCGATTTTTTCTCAACCAAACTCATCGGTACCTACCCGGCCGTGTCCCGTCCGGTCATCGTACGATTATCTTACGGCGCCCGGTGGCATCGCACGGTCATCTTGGGATTTTGCGTGCTGATTTGTTGGATACATCTTAATAATGATTACTTATAAAGTGATATAAAGGTTTTAAAAATAATGAGGTAAGGAATTATAATTACTACACACTGTCAGGGATTTTTATAAAACATAAATGGAACGATTAAGCTTACTGTATATAAAACAATGGCACACATTTGAATGGCTGGGTGGGTGGGTTGATCTAGTCGTTCTTATATTGACATTAGTCGTGTATGTCTGTCATACACATTGAATAGAGTGTTACATTTTTATGCGTATATTCACTCATGCATATACCATTACAAATCATTTATTTTAAAAACCTTCGGAATGTTTTTGTGAGTACAGTAATTCCAAGGGTCACAATTTTACTACGATTAATTACATCTCAATTACAACGTAATATGCCAAAGGCTAAGGATAGAGGGGATAAGGCCAATGGGCCATATATGAGGAAGGCCTTGGGAAGACAGGTGGAAAAAGACAATAACAATGCTACTGAGCTGGTGGATGATGAAGATTTAGATGTGTCTATTGGGAAGCGGGTACTCCACTTGAAACAGAAGAAATATGCCAATTTCTTTGAAGCCATATTTTTATAACCAAACTAGTAATTCTCTTTACAAGAACAGACGAAAGAAAGATGGAGAAATAGGGAATTTTGCTAATAGCATCGGATGGACAGGTAGACATAGTATTTTTTTATATGTAAGATCTAAAAATGAATTAAGATCAGGGTGCACTTTCATGAAAAGACCACGTCCAGTATGGCAAGTGATTTTAGACGGTCACATCTTTCACCATGAGCACCTTCTGGGCACAAATAGAGTGTTTTTATTAAAACAATATGTTTTCTTTCAATTGAAGTACCCATGATGATAAAAATATCAATCAAACAATTCGAAAAATGATGAATAGGGACCCCATGTCAACATTTTTTCTAAATATTGAACCTATTTACTCAAAAGAGGATTTTCTTTTTCTGATTTTTATTGCATGAAAACATTATTATCCTGGAAGTCCTGTTTATCAAAGTATTTCGTTTTCAAATGTTGCATTCACACCATGTGGAACAGTCATACTGGGTCATACAGGGATTAAGTATAAATCTAGAGGCCTGTAAATCGACCGATGTCCTGGCGGGTCCCGTACGGCCATCGGCCGATAGCCTTGCGATACCCGTGCGATGTCTTTCAGATTCAATTGATTGCGGGCGCCTTACGATGCCTGTACTAATGTGACCATACTCACGATTAGATCAAGACATCGGTGAAAAGTCACCGGCGCCCGGTCGATTTATAAATCGGCCGATGACTACTCATCGGCCGGCGCCCGGCGGCTATGTGACCCAGGCATTAGTGTTTTGTTCAATATTGTATTCAATTTTGAACAAAATACTCAATCGGTCGGGCGCCGTAGTGAAAATCGGAGCAAATGTGATGCCTGGGTCACATTTGTTCCGATTCATAAGCCGGCGCCTGGCCGATTGAGTGTTTTGTTCAAAACTGAATACAAAATTGATCAAAATACTTAATAATGACCCCGTGGCAAGGCGCCGGCCGATGGATCAGAGCAAATGTGACCCGGGCATAACCAAGGCATAAGTGAGGTAGGTAAATGAGCAAGTGGGATTAGTGCGAAATAGGGAATAGAGTTAAATGAGCGTGCAAGTGGACATAATAACTAACTTTCACACTCCAGGTGCCAGTATGTTTTCAGATAGGGGTTAGATGTATCTGGACCTTTCACACATTTGCAACTGTCCCCATTTACCATAGCAGATTGCTTTATATTCAAATACGCACCATTAATTGGCATCCTGCAACCTAAGATCCATTAAAGACACTAACGGTTAGTTTAACCGATGTTTATTCGATTGATTAAACCACTCTTAAAAATTATTACTTGGATTTCCTTATATTGAGAAATTGTACTACTCATTTTAAGTCAAAAATTACTTAAATAATCTTGAACTACTGAATAATTTTTAAGTAATTTTTTAGTAATTCATTATGGTGAATTTACTAATGCAAGGAGAGAAATTGAAATACTTACTGTAGTAATTGTAATACTCATTTACATAATTAAGCAATCAAAAAACTCAAAATAACAATATAAGTTAAACCTAAGTAAAATGAAGTAAAACTTTAAGTATTTAACTTTAAGTAATTTTTATACTTAGGAAATACTTGGGAAATACTTGGGAAATACTCAAGTAATTCATTTTTAAGAGTGACTATTGATGGCATCGTATAATAAATTCAGTAATATGATTATGTTACCGACATTACATGTGCATGAGAAAAACAAGTCACGTTTTTCAAATTGTACAGGGTGGGCCAAAAAACGCCACTTTTTCAAGACACTACAACCTTTTTATTTTCCAACCTACAAACCCCAAATTTTGCAGTTATATAGTGCCAAGGGTTCTTAGTAATAATATAATGTAACAATTCCTTCAACTTGGATTATATTTGATCTAAAAGGGGAGTTCAATTTGATCCGCCAACCTAATTGATGATATATTTTAGTTTTAGTCGCCTTGCTGATATTGCAGTATCAATGAAATGTCAACTAAGTTTTTTTCAACCTGTCTTAATTGCCAGCTTTAGTTGAGCAATTTTCTAAATTGGGTGTCTTCATACAATATCCTGGAGACCTGAGACCTTCCCATACCCTATACTCACTGGGGTTTGCATCAGGGCTATTCGCTTGGCGATCATCAGGACGTATCAGTTCAGGAACATATTGCAAATTATGCTTATTTCTCATGGCACACCACATGTTTAAGTGAAACGCTGATGACATATTTTATTCAAGTAAAAGTGTATAATCCATGATCCATGGGTAGATAACAACCTCGTCAAGTTTCATTTGGTATGCTTATGATTTAATATCAAGAATTAAAAATGTTGTAAAATTTTGAAAAAAGTGGCGTTTTTCGGCCCACCCTGTATAATCACTGCTCTTCAAAATAATGTTTTCAATTTCATTTAGCGCAATGAGTAGATTATTAACGAAGTTCGAAGAGAAATGAGAAAAGTTGTCCTCCCGTCCGTTTGTGTGTTCTTGTGTTGACGGATTTGAATAAAATTGTAAAGGATTATGCCTTATGGGTGTAGGACCTCTGCTCGAGAAGGACACTTCAATAAGCCATTTTTCGTAAAAATATAATCTTTGATAACTCAAATACTAGTTGACGGATTTGGTTCAAATTTTATATGCTGTTGCCTGAGGTCAAAGGAGCTTTGCTCTAGAAGAGATTTTCAAAATGGCCACTGAATATAAAAAAAGCCGCCATTTTTTTAAAAACGAAATCTTTGATAAGTCAAATATCAGTGGTAGGATTTTTTATGCTGATGCATAGGAACACATAGCTTTGTTTGAGAAAGAATTTCCAAGATGGCGACTGTATTTCAAAATGGCCGTCATTTTTCGTGAAAAACGTAATATTTGATATATTAACTAAAATACCATTGGACGGATTTGGTTAAAATTTTATATGCTGATGCCTAGGGAAACAGTAGTTCTTTGTGAGAAAGAATTTTCAAGGTGGCAACTGAATTCTCAAATGGTCAACAATTTTCGTAAAAGACGTAATCTTTAATTACTCAAATACCAGTGAACGGATTTGGTTTAAATTTTAAATGATGATGCCTGGAGAGTAACTCTTCTCAGGAAAGATTTTCTAAGAAAGCAGCTGATTTCAAAATGGTCGCCATAATCATAATCTTTGATAACTCAAATGCCAATTGAAAAATTTGGTTAGAATTCTATATGTTGATGCCAATGAACAAAGGAGCCCTGCTAAAAAATACATGTTTAGATGACCACTGAATTTCAAAATGGCCGCAATTTTATAAAAAAACGTAATCTTAAAGACGTAATACCAATGTGGTCCAAATTTTATATGTTGATGCCTAGAGGCCTCCAAATTTAAATACTGGTGCCTATGGACAAAGGAAATCTGGTCTATAGGAAATGTTAAAGATGACAGCTGAATTTCAAAATGGTCGCAATTTTTCGTAAAAAATGTTATCTTTGATAAATCAAATAGCAGTGGGTTGCTGAGAGATAAAGGACCTCTGCTCTAGAAAACATTTTCAAGATGGCAGCTTTTTATCAAAATGGCCGCCATTTGTCATTAAAAATCGTAATCTTTGATCAGTCAAATGCAAATTGACAGATTTGGTTCAAATTTTATATGCTGCTACCGAGGTACAAAGGAGCTCTGCTTAAGAAGAATTTTTTAAGATGGCAGCTGAATTTCAAAATGGCCGCGATATTTCGGGAAAAAAACATAATATTTGATAGTTTTATACCAGCAGTGGATGGATTTGGTTTATATAACGACATGCTCTGCTCAAGGAGAAATTTTCAAGATGGCCACTAATTATCAAAATATGTTTTGTTTGATGGGATTTGTTACATCCTGGAGTTTGCTTTTCTAGTTAAGCTGTAAATATTAAATGAATTATACCTTTCTTAAGGGTACATTTAGCTCTTGGAGGATATGGTAATGCGCCTGGAAGGGGAGTTGGGAGATCACTCTGGAGTTCACACGTACACGTTATCTTATTCCCCAATTCTTTCCATTTTCTTCCAACTTTCATATATTTATCTTTACCAGAAGGTCCAGTGGCTTTCACGAGGCACCCTTAAACAAATATAACATCAATAGTAGCCTCGTATTTATGAGTAATGCCTGGGTCACATTTGTGCCAGTGCTTAGCCGAATGAGTATTTCGGTCATTATTGTATTCAGTTTTAAACAAAATACTCAATCGGTCGGGCGCCGGCCGATGAAATCGGAGAAAATGTGACACAGGCATTTTAAAATAACCTAAATGGTCGAGGTCATACTTTTAAAGAACAATACTGAGAATATTTTAAATTACATAAATAACCCTACTTTTAATGACCTTTAAAGGCATACTTTTACATAATATTGGCCTTACTTCTAATGACCCAATTGACCATTCTGTCAATGACCCATTTGGTCATACTTTTAATAACCCATTTGGTCATACTTTAAATGAGCCATTTGGCAATATTTTCAAAGACCCATTTTGCCAAATTATGAGTGACCCATTTGATCATACTCAATGACACATTTGGCAATACTTTAAACGACTCATTTGGTCAAACTTTAATTGACCCATTAAGTCATATTTTCAATAGCCCATTTGGCCATACTTTCAACGACCCATTTGGCCATATTTTGAACGACCCATTTGGTCAAACGTTCAATGAGCCATTTGGCCATACTCTTAATTGCCCATTTGGCCATACTTTCAATGACCCATTTGGTCATACTTTCAATGACCTATTCGACCGTATTTTAAGCGACCCATTTGATCATACTTTCAAATTGCCCATTTGGCCATACTTTTATTGACCCATGGGTCATTGAAAGTATGGCCAAATGGATCATTTAAAGTATCTTACTTTAAATGTTCCATTTGGTCATACTTTCAATGGCATTTGATTTGTTCATATTTAGATGACCCATTTAATTTGGTCATACTTTAAATGACCCATTTGGACATACTTCCAATTGGCCTTATTTTCAATTACCCATTTACTTTTAATGACCAAGTTAGCCTTTCTAAATAGCCTTGCCAACAGGCATTTCTTCCACTTACACCCCAGTCACATTTCCTACGGCGACCTTGCGGTCTATCATTTCTGCGGCCAGTAACATTTCTACGCTCGCCGTGGAATTTCTGCGCTCTCATACTTTTGCAGTCACATTTCCCACGGCAGCCGCAGGGTGAATTTTAAATTTCTGTTGATAAATGATACTTTTTTCATTTAATTTACATCGGGACAATTTATAAATGTTATTCATAGTGCTAGGATGTAATATCAAATGAAAAGTGATCATGAAACATTGACAAATAATGATTCAATCTTGTTGAGCCAGTTGATTCCTTCGGGGACCTCAGAAATGAACAAATATTATAACTCCGATTTATAATTTCTACGGCGACTCTGCGGCCTGTAAAAAACTGGATACGCCGTACGGAGGCCGCAAGGCGAGCGTAGTTTTCCTACGCTCGCCGCAGAAATACACTGATTTAATTGATCTGCGGTCGACGCACGGCCTCCGTACGACAAATGTGACTGGGGTGTAAGCTTTATTCGATTTTATTCCAAGCTATAGCTCTACCTTTTGGGCATGATTTCACAATCATACATCCCTCAGCTGTGGTCGCCATCTCACATCCGTCATACGCCTCCTTTACGTTTAAGGCAGGATTGTCATACATGTCACAGCTATTAAAAGAGAATGATGGGTGCGTGTAAATCAGGGCCGATGTGTATAAATACTAGAATGTAATTGTAATGCATACCGAGGATCCTAACACCCCAGTCACATTTCCCGCGGCCGACGTGCGGTCTATCATTTCTGCGGCCAGTTGCTTTTCTACGCTCGCCGTAGAATTTCCGCGCTCTCATTCTTTTGCAGTCACATTTCCCACGGCAGCCGCACGGTGAATTTTAAATTTCTGTTGATAAATAATACTTTTTTTTCATTTTATTTACATTAGGACAATTTATAAATGTTATTCATAGTGCTAGGATGTAATATCAAATGAAAAGTGATCCTGAAACATTGACAAATAATGATTCAATCTTGTTGAGCCAGTTGATTTCTACGGAGACCTCAGAAATGAACAAATATTATAACTCCGAGTTATAATTTCTGCGGCGACCCTACGGCCTGTAAAAAACTGGATACGCCGTACGGAGGCCGCAGGGCGAGCGTAGTTTTCCTACGCTCGCCGCAGAAATACACTGATTTAATTGATCTGCGGTCGACGTACGGCCGCCATACGACAAATGTGACTGGGGTGTAAGTGAGGAAAATAAAGCTAATGTAATAATGTGTTTGATATGATCGGGTTTCTCATGAACCTTCCTTTCTTCATCCTGGCTAGAATCCAAACATAAATAGGTTTTAAATCTTATCCAATTGTTGCCGTAATTTTGAAGTTCACTTTATCTTATCGTATGAAATTTATATCTCTAATTAGTAAAGGATTGGTATCGATATGGCTAACTGAATTGAACACATGTTTCTCTTAAAGCAGTAATCAAAAATATTTACACATCGTCAACTTAATGATCATCTTTTGAATGGTAAAAATATAATTTGAAACAAATATACATGCATATACTTTTTTCTGTATTGTTTTAGAAAACACATCAGACACTTTTTTATTCTGGGTATCATATGTTCAGAATGAAACGAAAAGTCTTCCCGAACCTCATTGGAACAAAACGACATACACAAAGTGTTTAGAACTTTCAATGTTGTAATTGTACACAGGAAAGTTTGGTTGATTAAAATGATTTCAAAGTACCTTGTTAATGAAATAAAAGCTTTACTTTAATTTTTAATCTATTTTTTTTTTTTTTGTTTTACTTGTTAAATCAACCAACTTTTCCTTTGTATAACTGTTATATTAAGAGGTCTAAAAAAATGTTGTATATGCTATAAGGTTTGGAATATGCTATAAGGTTTGGAAAGATATTTTATTTCATTCTCAAGAATCGGTAGAAAAGAACAAAAAACAATTGCACTAAAAATCAAAAAGATATTAAAATAATTTTCGCATTATTTGTTTGTCAAGCAGTGACCATTACATAAAGGACAGTGTTTCTTACTGAATGTTTTCAATATTTGGTTTAAGAGAAAAACAATGTTGAATTCTGTTCGCCATATCGATACCAATCCTTTCAAACTCCTATACTCACTACGGGATGCAGCACACCGTAGATGTAGCCACAAGAATTAAAACACACTGAAATGAAACAATGTACCGTTCATTCAAATTATGCAGTCCGTGTGAAGGCAATTTATTATATAGCACAATAAGCTTTGGGGATCTAAATTATCAGGTAATTATGAAAGTATTGCCCATTTTCCCACTGACCTACTCTGATACCATTTCCAGCAGTTTGACTTTGCTTCTTTAAAAAGTAGTGTCTTGAAATTTAGGTTTAAATGACGCATGATTAAACTATTGGAAAGGGTATCACTATGAAAGCACCGGTAAGCAACATGAACAAGGCATAATTTCACCACCTGCCGTTAGTTACAGACGCCAACCGCCGTTACAGACTCCAAACGCTGTTACAGACGCCGAAAATAAACCATCGAACACTGTCTCCAAAGATTGGAGACTATAAGAATATGTCACCATATCTGTTGGTGACATATAAGACGGAACCTGTCAGGCAACTTTGAATTATCTTGAAAGTAAAAGTTTAAGCAAATGTGGATGACTGTTTATTTTAGAAAATAGTAAGAGATTTAAAGACAAATTCATGCCCCTTGTCAATTTCTACATCCACCCATGTTTTCATTTTAAGATTCTGAACATTGTTTCGTTCACTAAAATCCCATAAGACAAACATCTACTCACTTACCTTCAAAATTGCTCGTTGATGCATCTTGCTAGAAACCTCTGGAAAGATTCCGTATTGAAACGAGAATAATTTATTTTGTACTAAGCTTGATATAATAATGATTTCACAATGTATTATTGAATACTAATGTCTGATCATAAAGTTGAATAGTATTTGTGTATCAAATATTAATTGTATGATATATACCAGACCAATGTTAATGGGTTACCCAGGGGGGAATTGGACCTGCAGGCCTGACTATTTATACGTGTTTATTTTGTTTTGAAAAGGATTGGAGAACTGAATTTTTTTTCTCTGAAACCAATCATTGAAAACATTCTGTAAAAAACAAGGTATTTTATGCAACGTTCGGTTGACTGATTGACAACAATTTAATGCGAAAAGTATATAGAAATATTTTCTATAACTGTTTTTGTTAACATTTTTTGTTTTTTTAGTGCAATTGTTTTTGCTCCTTTCTACCAATTCTTGAGAACGAAATAAAATGTCTTTTCGAACCTTGTTGGAACAAAATAGCATATACAACATGTTTGTAGACCTCTCAATATTATAGTTATACAAAGGAATTTTGGTTGATTTTAAAAAAGTATTCAAAAAATTAAAACAAAATCCCCCAAAATAGATAAAAATCAAGATAAACCTTTTATTAACAAGATACTTTTTTAAAATCAACCTAAATTTCCTTTGTACAATTACAATATTGAGAGACCTAAACATGTTAGGTGAGGTGAGGTGAGGTTAGGAAAGATGTAAGTTTCATTTCACTCTGGAAACATGATACCAAGAACAAAACACGTGTTTGATGTTTTTTTCTAAAACAATATAGATGAAAGTATACATATATTTTTCAAATTATATTGTTACCATTCAAAAGATGACCATTAAATTGACACTGTGTAAAATTTTCAGAATTTTTTGATGACTGGTTTAAGAGAAACGTGTTTTCAAAAAGTTCGCCATATATCGATACCCATCCTTTCGATATATGTGATGTATATTTCTTAGTTTTTAAAAAGAATCTACAAATATTTCGTTGCAGTTTTATCTTTACATCGTAATTTCGATCACCGCCATCACTCTTTAGATGGGTTACCCTGAAATATCATGTCCTTATTCTTAATCCTAAAATGCTGTCTGTAAAGTCTTGTCTACGCGTTTTCAGGCAAATCGTTTTACGGATCGATTTCAAATTTTCAGGAATGATTCTTAGTATGTAATTCTGGAACTGATTGTTTTTGGGTAAGTCTTCTCTGCCCAAATTTTCTCTGTGAAGTCTTTTCTACGTGTTTCGAATCGAAGTTTTTGATGAGTTAATTTGAAATCTTCAGAAATTATTCTTTGCCTGCCAATCTCAAATTGATTATAGTTTATGGGCATTCTGGGTAAATGTTGAGGTGGCCATTTTGGATTTTCCGTCCTAAAATCTGTCTGTGAAATAAATTAATTTTGGATGGAGGGGGGGGGGGGGGTGGATCGGATGGAGGTTTTTTTTTTTTATATCTTTACGATGGAACAAATTCACAAAAACTCGTGTATTTGAAAAAAAACTAAACTCAGTACCCCAGTAAGAAACTGGATATTATATCTCTGGAGAATGAAAAATCGGAAAATTTGGGGTCATAAGAATAAATTCAGGTAGCGTGTCCTATCATGTCTTGTATACACGTGATCCTCCCCCCTCCATCCGATCCCCCCTCCATCCCAAATTAGATCTCATATCTTAGAAGGGCATCAGTTGAAAAGAAATACTAGATGACCTAACATATTTTGCCATGCACTGCGCCTTTTTCATGTGGCAAATCAGTTGTAAATTTTCTCTTGAAAAAATAAAATTTCCTTTATAAATTGTTTACAATCGCCAATCTTCTCTAGCGAACTTCAGTAAAAGTAAATCATATTTTGTCGTTTGCCATTAAGTCTTGTGTCAGTGTACCTACTACAACACTGCGTCCCATAACAGTTGGACTGGTCAACTTGATGTCATTGTCTTCAAACATGCCAGATGCAACGCCACACTCGTCTCCTTCTATTATGTTGCCCACGTCACCTACGTGTCTTAATCAAAGAAAAAACGCACGTTTTATTGTCAATTTCAGACGTTAAAACCAGGGGTTCGGTTTTGTATGTTCGCAACTTTTACGATACCGAGAGAATCATTGTCTACTTTTTGACAAACAATGACTTGCAACCTAATCGTAAGCAACGACGGTTCCATAAACGGACCCCAAAGGCGTTATGAGTATAAATGTTAATTCAAGGAGAGGAGCATTGTTATGTCACCACCAAAAGTTTTTTTGTGACGTCGGTTCGGGGTTGACGGTTGGGGTCTGAAACGAATTCTTACAACTTCCAATGACTAAACAAATACAATTTAGACTGACTTCAATTTTTCAAAATTATATACAAGTTCTCAGAAGTTCAAATTTGACTTTAGATTTTAGATTTGACCTTCAATGACTTTCTCAAGGTCAAAAAGGTCTCTTCAACTTGTTTCAAATTGACCATTTTTTCTAAATTATCTACAAGATCTCAGAAATTTAAATCTGAATTTTAGATTTAAGACCTAACCTTCACTGACCTTCTCGAGGTAAAAAGGTTAAAAATGTCTTTTTTCAACTTGCTTCAAATTGACCTTTTTTCAGAATCATCTACAAGTTCTCAGAAGTTCAAATCTGACTTCAGACTGAACACATTATATTGTGAGCAACTAGGTGGTGACATTTTGTCATGTTATTGCCTTGTCTCCCATTGTTCTGACATTCAGTAGACTGTGTTGTGCTTAGCTTTGAGAAGATTTTTGGATTGGTACTAATAGGTATCAGAGTCGGTAATTAGCATGATTTGGCTAACAAACTGAACAGAAAAACGTTAGTTATGTTGCTTAATCGAGGTTCATCTCTAGACTCGCTTACGCCCCTCAGAGCTCCTCAGCACCTGGGTTATAATCTATATTCACTGATAAGTCTTTACAATGGTTGGTTTATGGTTTTATTACTCTTTGATCACAAGTAGACTTATAGTCCATGGTATGGCTCATAGCTATTACAAATCCGTGGCACCATATATGCATAACGACATTTGAACCGATATTTAGGGAGGGGCATATGTCCTTATGCTTTTAAAATGCCATTTGGTAAAAAATATTAAGGCTTTCGGGTCGCATTATATCTGTCATCACAAGAGGTCAAAAAACGTGAAACTTTTCATGCGCATTTTAGTGCATTTTATGAGACTCAAATTGTAAATCGAAACTTATATATAATTTAAAGGATTAGGATTACATAGAAATATAATACTATTTTAACGTAAATGTCATTTTTCAATTAGTGCATTGCACTAGGGTACTTTTCAACGTTTTATTATTTAGAAAAAAATAAGACAGAGCAGATGTGACCAAATTATGCGAAATATTCAGAAAATCTATAATTAGTAACATATTAGTTTTGTACTTATAGAAACAATATATTCACGGAAATATTTCTTGCGTTTTCAAGGGTCAAACAGCGGATTATTGTTAATAATATTCAAAACGTAATCAAATAAAAATATAAATGATGTATCATTTAAATAATTAATCTAATTTTGGTATTGGAATGTTTACATTTTTAAACTAGATGATTTGCATCGAGGAATAAAGAAGGCGCAGTCAAATGCGTCGCAAATATCATAGTGTCACAATGCTGTGCCCCCACAATAAAATAACCATGCAATGTTGTAAGAAAGTAAACATTGAATGCATTATAATATATTTCAGTTTTAATTATCGATTGTTCTATAAATGAGAACGCTAGAATGATTGATTAAGAAACCAGAAATCAACGTTCGTGGTTGACGAGTGACTATATTCAGGACGATTTGATGCAGTAGAGCAAGATTTGTGAAATTCAAGATAGTAATTTAGTTTTTGTTTCGATCATAAATTGACAAATGTTCGTTCTATTCTAAATGTAAATTTATAAGTGAGAGCCATACTGTCATTAATAAGAACCAGAAACCAACCTTCGTGATGGATGTCCCGATTGGAATTGGGAGAAATTTATAGTGTTGCACACATCCAATCTTTCAGACGAGCCTCCGATATTTAAAGAGAACATCGAATCATTTTTTGTAAGACCGGTTCTCTCAATTTTTTCAGCAATCCAACATCTCTCGTTTCCGATCTTTCCATTCAATTTTAGGAAGCCATACTTCATTTTCTAATTTGTAACTTTTTATCAAATCAGGCATTATTCATTTGTGCACAAACTCTATGTCGCAAAAGCCATGCAAATTGCACTTTTACGAATTGTTGTGAGTGTTGTAAGATACATTTTCCTTTCACGTTGTATATTGATTTGGGATAGTTGGATTTTCTTTCCATTTGGCAATGAGATCTTAGACATTTCATTTTCCTGCTATGTTTTGTCATTTTTGGTCTTTCGCATTTGGCACTCGTGCGTACATATTCATGACATTTTGGATAGAATTTGGGACAAAATGGCTACTCCCAGGCTATATCTCTTTTGTCTTTATATCGGGTATTGCTAGAAAAACTAGTTTCTGGGTGAAATCATATGTCACATATGAAGGAGGTAATTTAATTTATACTTGAATACCATGTATTACTCATTTCTGAGTAAATTCTATGCTGAAGAAGTAGTGAAGAAGTTCAATGCCATTGTTAATGTTTTATGTGGAGTGGTAGTCATTGTCCCTGGGTCGTTGCTAATTGTGAGTACTATCCATACACTTTATTTTAGGGGAGTACAAGTTTCTTTTAACTTCATTCTATATTCTGTATAATCACTGCTTCCCACCTAGTTACACAGACGTATCGTCAGTGTATCATGGCGGAACTACTTCCGGGACTAGGTTTCGGTAAGATTTTTTTATTTCCCGATTTACACCTACTTATAAGTCACGTTGTGGATAATAATTTGCCTCGAAGTTAAGGAAGATAGTCTTGTTTGAGAATGTGTCGATGGTTTTAGGTTTTATATGTTAACAAAGACACAATTCAGGTATTTAGTCCCTCGCTTTTGTTACACTGACGAACGACCAATATCAGTGTACTATTGGCAATATTAATGCCGGTCGTCAGTGTAACAAAAGCGAGGGACTAAATATGTGAAATGCGTCTTCGTTAACATACCAAACCTAAAACCATCGACACATTCTTAAACTAGATTATCTCCCATAACTTCGAGCCAAATTATAATCCACATCGTGACTTATAAGTAGATGTAAATCGAGAAATAAAAATATCTTACCAAATTCAAATCCCGGAAGTAGTTCAGCCATGATACACTGACGATACGTCTGTGTAACTAGGTGGGTAGTAGTGATAATATTTGAAATTTTATAAAAGGTATTTCTTTCAAATAGTGCACTCTGTGATGCTATATTGTTTTTTTTATGTGAGGCGCATCCTATAACGTTTGATTAATCCAAGTTTTTATGTGCACGCGGTCCTAACTTCGACCGTTAATTTGAATTTTGGACCTACCGGATGTTTGAAAATCAAGGATTATGAGTCTCATTCTGCACCGTTTTTCTTCAAACTTGTTCCATTCAAAGCATAACAAAAATCCCTTTCTGATGGTACATTATTCTCTTAATAAGAGACCCTACTTCCAGCGGCATTTTGGTCCCCAGCTGTAAGAAGGCCTTCCGACAATTGGGGACCAAAACGCTGCGTGAACGAGGGACTCTTTACAATCAAGTAATGCACCGACAGAAAGGCAATTTTGTTTTGCTTTTAATGGTATAAGTTTGAAGAAAAACGGTGCAGTATGAGACTTGCAATCCTTGATTTTCAAGCACCTGGTAGGTCAAAAATTCAAATTAACGGTCGAAGTTAGTACCGCGTGATGTGGAGTATGAGGTTTTTTGAGTGCATTTTATACAGTACCACATAATAAGCGAGGAATATACTATACTGAAGAAGTTGTTATATCAGTTACGATTTATATGTGAGGTATTCGTGTTTGTGAGTATATTCATGAGGCTATTATGTTTTTGATTTTTCATGTGAGATGTTACTTTTTTGCGAATGCATTATGTTAGGCAATATTACCTGTGATTTATAAACGAATTATTAGTTCTATATATGAGCTTTCATGAGAGGATTGGTTTATGCGAGTGAATCCAAATGCTATAGTTACTGATTTTTATTTGAGGTATTTTGTTTTGTTTAATGAACAGTGTTCCTTTTTGTAAAATAATTTCTGGATTTTGCGACCGTTTAAGTTTATGTACTCGAGATGCTGAAGGATGTGGGGATTATTTTAGGCATTGTCAATTAAATTGCTAAAACTGAAGGCTTTAGGTTTGCAGTGGGATGCTGACCCTTTTAAACGTTAAACGAATTATAATATCTATCTCAAAGCATTAAGACCAAATTCTAAATATTGTATATCTAATATACTATTAGTATTGTTTTGAGTATTGGCTCACTATTTGTATTTTTATTCAATTTGTGTTGTAATGACTCGAGTATAATGAGGTGCTGCTTGGTGTAATGGTCTTGGAATGATGTTTATACTTAGCTCGTGGGTCGGGAGGGGTTGATAGACGTTTGACTTTGGGATTGCTAGTGTTTCTTATGTCACCACCAAGAGTGGTATGACATATTGTTATAGCTTCCAACATAAAGTCCATTGACAGTACATATTCGGCGTTCGGTGTATGTAACGAATATGCGTTGGCATTTTGCATGTTAATGCTTTGATATTCCCTTATATTAGTATACTCTTGAACACATTCCATTTGTTGCTGTGCCTTTTCCATTTCCACTTGTGCGTTCATGTTTTGTTACTTCAGAATTCTGATTTTTTATTAATGTGTAACAAACAGTATAATATAACAACAATTATATTTGTCACTGCGATGCATTACATCGATTCATTTTTACATTATTGCCGACATTTCTCAAAGATCCATGTAGTCAAATGTTGAAGATATGGTCCTTATATAAGCAACTAATTCATGTTCAACCATATGCAACAATTTTCAATCGCAGACGGTATTAGACAAAGAAGAACAACGAGTCTCCCTTTATTGGCAAATGACCCCTGAATACGGCTGTCCATATCTCAAAATGTATTACAACTAATTTAGTAAAAAACTAACATATTATAACCATATGTTATTCACAGGTAATAAAGGTGCCAATATATTGATTGCTTCACCAATATCTCCGAAACGACATAAAATGTTGAAACCTTGATTTTTTATATATAAGGTATTTCAAGGAACACATACCGCAAAATTATAGCCAAGAAACTTGATGTATATATTAAAAATATTTTCATGTGATTTTCTTTTAATGTTTGTACTTTAAATTATGAAAAAAATACGAAAAACGTTTTACACGTTTTTTGACCCCTGATAATGACATGCATTATTCGGCCTAAAAGCCCGCCGTATTTATCACGGCTATACAAAAATAAAACGCGGGACACATGTAGGTATCTAAATATAAGCTCAAATATCATTATGCAGATATGGTGCCACCAACTCCTTAATTAGACGTCCTAGAAATTTCATACCGTGGACTATTATAAGCGAAGATAGAATACGGGAGCAAATATGCTACCACATAACTGACTAATAAAATATGATGTAAAAACACAAGTTGTTCTTTTATGACACAACTGCATTACCTTCGACCGTGGTCTCCCCTGGCACCAAGTGTCGTTGATGTTGGATTGAAGAGGCCACCTGTTCTTACAACCCTCCATGATGTCACCATAAGGGTTAACGTGGAACCAATGTTTTGTAATGTTATCTGCCATATCAAAGCCTCTTATATCATACTTTATGTGTGTATGTGTTGCTTGAAGTCAACGGTACCCGTCACGTTTTGGAATTACCTTGCATCATGCATATACGGGAGCTGGAAATTTGATGATATTAGTTCAAATTGGACTTTGTGGAAGAAGAGGAAATTGAGCGCCCACTTGGGGGCCTATTTCCGGACACTCTCACTCAGTGGTACGACGTCAAAATATATCCGAAACACGCAACGTGTGATAAAGCGTCCCCGTCGTCATGTCTTTAGATAAATTTTACATTGTTTGTTTTAACTAAACCGCAATAAACTGGGTCATACAATTCTTGCCTGGCTCATGCACATGTCGAGGGCGCTGGCAAGTGGGAGTTATCTAATCATACCAGGCCATCCCGAGATTACCGATTTTATTGTGATAGTAAATATGTGAAGTTGCATAAAAACACAATAACAGTATACTCCACGCTTGGATACTTTTTTATAAAATATTTATTATCTATTTCCTGCATTAGACAAATCAATGATACACAACTTTTTCATTAAATGTCAATATGGAGTGAGTTTTATTGGGTAATAATGGCTTGTTGATGAAGGTTATAAGATTTATACGAAAGCATTATATTATATTATTATTATATTATGCATTTGTGGCCTATGGACCCGCCTATAGAATTTGTTTTGAATCAATAAACGATCCATTAGAAAAGTCGAAGCATAAGATGCGACACTCGAACTACGTGTATGATTCGTAACCCGCATCATAATATGCGAAATACGCATTTAATCGTATGCGATTTTCAATCTATGTCATACCAACAGTTAATTTCCTTACATAACTTATTTTCATTCACACTCGCACTGGTTCTATCAAGTGTCACACAAGGAGTAACACTTGCACTTGACAACACTTTGCAAAAGTCCAAAGCAATGTTAAAATGTCACAGGGATTATATTGTGTTATAAGTAGCATACACGGGCTAATAGAGTTTCCACGTATATGGAGTATGACCGATTCTTAGGCTACGAATATGACCTGTTTTGGAAAGTCATGAGAGGCACAGCTGCTTAAAATGGAAAATAAAGGTTAACTTCTATATTATCCTTTTTGAAATTGTGTTTGTTGAATATAGTTTATGCTGTATTAAATAGTAATGTTACAAAAGAAATGTTAAACATGAGCTATTTTAGCAATGTAACTGTTCATAATGGAATATCAATTAGAAAGTACAGATTTCTCGCCTTAGAGCCAAATCATTAATATCACAGTAGAAAAAAACAAATCCCAAACCTTTTTATGGCTAACCTGAACAAGATCTCCAAATCTCAGTTTATATGATCCCCCGTAGAATGAGCAAGAGAAGGATTTATCTTTTCCCAGAGGATATGCTTGTGAAATGTCATGGAAACGAGTGTAACACGGCCCACTGATTGTTTCACAACCGTATTCTCCAATAATGGGGCACCAGTGACATTCGTATTCTCAAAAATTCAAAGATGTATCATATTTGGACAGAGCAGGCTAAATTATTTAAAATATTCATGACTAATTCGTAGATCTAGCTATATATTATACATAAGATGTGTCATCCTCTTCGGAGTTGCGTTGTGTTACACAAAAACTGATCAAAGATGCTGGAAACTAGGATTTTACGGCTTCAATCTAATATTAATACGTTTTCTCTTGATTAAGGCCCCTTGTGATATGCCTGGCATTATAAGTATACCAAGTATCATTCATTGACCAAGTAGGATAAAAAGAAAACGTTCGAAAGTGTTCATAAAAAGCAAGTACTCACCTCGTCTGTTTATAGGAACAGAAATACGGTCACACTCGTAAGCTTAGAACCGGTCAATATACGCGGATACTCTAGTAACCCGTGAGCATAGAATACTTAAGAATTACACACAGATCAAAGTAAATTTCGAACGAAATCTGGAATGCATCGGTAAGTTAATATCACCTCACTCACACGCTAGCGCAACTCATTTTAAGACTGACTCAACCCACTAACATACTCACTCAACTGACTAACACACTCATTCCATTTACTAGCATACTCCCCCACCTCAGTTATATATTCACACTACCCTACCTCGATCGCACATGCGCGAGATTTTTGGCTTTCAACCATGTCGCTTTTGAGTATATCGACTGCTTAGTCAACAGGTTAATACATACCTACGGCCCTCGGGCAGATATATTATATTTGCCTTGAGATAATCCCAATATTCTGAACCTCATATAGGATAATTTCTATATATCCAATGTTTAAATGAATGCGACAGCCTGCATTCAAAGACGGCGGGATTTCCGCAGCAGGGTGACACTGATAGGCAGAATGGGCTTTTTGGGTAGAAACTAAAATTTGTAAACAACTATTAGTTACGCAATGTTACGTAATCTTAATAAAGTTCTTCTTGACCCAAACAGAAGATTGGTTTTGTACTTTATTCTATATTAGTTACAGAGGGGTTAATTAACTTGTTATGTAAATACCGTACTTTTATAATTGTCATTTGTGAATCAATTTAATTTGAATTAATCAATTATGTAGCTAATGACATAGAAACTAAGCCCCGGGTATTAGACTAAATAAAGCTGAGTGGACAGGATATCCCCCGGGAGAAATATGTTGCACTATTTCCCTCGATGGCAGTGACTATTTGTATTTATTATATACCTCAAATGTATTCTAGATGCTCATTGGCTTATTCATGGTCACATGGCATGGAATAGATGAACTAATTCCCTGGAAAGTCCTAAATCCCTGCTTTCGGGGAAGATGAATTGTACTAATCACCAGTTAGGTCATGTGACCAGTCAATAGTCTTCCCCCAAATCTGAGATTATAGGAGTTTAAAGGTAAAATGCCAATAAGAACCTGTGAACATTTGATATTGAAATGAAAAGACTTCTCATTTTGCTTTTGTTTACAGAGTACTTATCAGGTATATAATAAAACAAATAGTGACTGCCACATTTTCGGGAAATAGTGTAAAAATTTTCCTCTCGGGAATATCCTGTCCACTGACTTGTTCCCTCGGCCTGCAGCCTCGGGAACATATCAGTGGACAGGATACTCCCTCGAGGAAAATATTTTGCACTATTTCCCTCAATGGCAGTCACTATTTGTACAATATTATTAGACTCCAGATTGAAAATCTGGAGTCTATTGCTTTTGCCAGTTTTCTTTATTATTAGACTCCAGATTGAAAATCTGGAGTCTATTGTTTTTGCCTGTTTTCTTTATTATTAGACTCCAGATGAAAATCTGGAGTCTATTGCTTTTGCCTGTTTTCTTATTATTATTCTTTCCATCTTCCTCCATACAGATTTTCTCATCAACTATAACATCTTACTTAAACCAACTTACATGGTTAACTAAGGAATGTTTCTGGCTTTCTGGGAAATTAGGTCAAATTTTTATCTAGGTCAAAGGTCAAGAACTAGGCCAAATCTTACATTTTCAACATTCTTTCAATTATCTTCTTCGATAATTATCGGAACTCCTTCATCTTTTTTTCATTATGTAGTTAAGAAATAGCCGAAGCAAAGATATGACATTAGATTTTTGATTACTTTTACCAATTTTGAGATATGGCATCCGGAAAGTAGGTCAGAACAAAAAGTTCTCCAAATTCAACATGTGAGTTATGAAATAAGGGTAGAATGATCTCAGGAATCCGAATCTGCAAACCAAATTTCGATTTCGATTCGGAAGTTATGGCGTTTTGAAAGCTCAAAAATCGCTAAATTTGGTGCCTATGTTAAGTCAATGGGAAAAAAGACTTTTTCGAAGTGTAAAATTCAAGATATAGACTTAGTACAGCTTAACATAATGAATACTTATAAAAGAAGGGGACCTCAAAAGCTACATAGCTTCAAAATTTGGACACCAAAATGCCTAGGACAAAATCTAGGTCAAATTCATAGTTTTTCCTTATTTTTACGATTCTGACACTACACTTTAATAATTCACTTCAAAATTTTGTATACAGGTAGCAAAGATTGTGCTAATAGTGTTAGCCTTTTGCCGTCAGAAAGTATTTTGACCCACTTTTGAGATATGGTGTCAGCAAAGTAGGTCAAAATAAAAAGTTCTCCAAATTTAACATGTGAGCTATGCATTAAGGGTAGAATTTTCCCAGGAATCCGAATCTGCAAACCAAATTTCAATCCGACTTTCGGGTCGGAAGTTATGGCGTTTTGAAAGCTCAAAAATCGCTAAATTTGGTGCCCCATGTTATGTCAATGAGAAAAAAGATTTTTTTGAAGTGTAAAATACCAGATATAAACTGAGTACAGCTTAACATTCTGAAAGCCTATAAAATAAGGGGGCCTCGAAGGCTATCTAGCTTTAAAATTTGGACACCAAAATGCCTAGGTCAAAATCTAGGTCAAATTCATAGTTTTTCCTTATTTTTGCGATTCTGACATTACACTTTAATGATTTGCTTCGAAATTTTGTATACAGGTAGCAAAGAGTGTGCTCATAGTGTTAGCCTTCTGCCGTCAGAAAGTATTTTGACCCACTTTTGAGATATGGTGTCTGAAAAGTAGGTCAAAATAAAAAGTTCTCCAAATTTAACGTATGAGTTATGAATTAAGGGTAGAATTTTCCCAGGAATCTGAATCTTTAAACTAAATTTCGATTCAACTTCTGATTAGATAGTTATAGCGGTTTGAAGTCTCGAAAAGTCGATATGATGATATCCCCATGTTAAGCCAATGGAGTCGAAGATAACATTCTTAAGAGTTGTCTAAATGTCTATATTCTAGCTGACTCAGCTTATTCTGAATGACTCAGCTTACAAGTATTTGGATGACTCAGCTTAAAAAAAGTCTAAAATCTGGAGTCTTAAATTGAACTTGTTCAATTTACATGTCTAGTGATTTTTGCTTTCGTATGTGCAAAAAGCAAAAATCCTCCTCACACACGTTCTCACCAACGAGAGATATT